AATATCTATTTCAAATAAATAATTCATCATATAATATATATCCAAAATGTAATCATTTTCTTAATATTCGAACAAATCAATGTGAAAATTTTGATAATCTTAAAAAGAAATTTTCATTTAATTTTTCATCATATTTTATTCCATTTAATCATCGATATTTATCAACAAAATGTATACATGGTATTCAAACACATGATTGTTATTGTTATAAAAATTTTATTTCTATACCTATTAATCAAAAATTATATCATCCAAAAACTTATGTTCATCAACTTTGTACACATATATTAAAATATGAAAATTCGAATTTAAATTTATTAATAATAATTATTTCTAGTCTATTTATATTATATATTATTATTTTAATTATTTCATCTATATTTATTTGTATTTATTATAAACAATTAGAATATGAAAATGAACAAAATTCAATAATTGAATCAAAATTAATAACAAATCAACGATTTTCTCTTATTGAAATTGCTTCTGAATTACAGTTTGAATGAAAAATATACTATCTCTAATAATTGATAATAACTATCTTTTTTTTTCTATAAATGTTCATTATTTATGCTAGATTAGGAATGTACCGAGACCGAGAGCTCGGTCTCGGTGCGTCTCGGTCTCGGCTCAGTTTCGGTCTCGGTCTGCCTCAATCTCGGTCTGTCTCGGTCTCGCTCAGTCTCGGTCTCGCTCAGTCTCGGTGTCGCTCAGTCTCGGTCTTGGCTAGCCTCAACCTTGGTATTGAGTAGTGCCGGTCTCGATTATGCTTAATCTCGATCATTTCTTTATCATAGATAAGTGTGCTACTCTGTCTCGGGCGAAATTATATTTCTTTAAGCTTTTCGGCTGATATTGACCGAGACCGAGAGTCTCGGCCGAGACGACCGAGACCGAGACTGACCGAGATCGAGACGGGCCGAGACCGAGATCGACCGAGACCGAGCCGACTCGGACCGAGAGTCTCGGTACATCCCTATGTTAGATGCTGACAATATGAAATTTGAACAAAATATGTCTTTTATTGTCATTGTTAGAGCTCGTCAAATTATTTATTAAGATTTTGTGAAAAAAAGTCAATAAAAACTGAAGCATGCTAAAAGCAAGTTGAGAAAATCGATTTTCTCGATAGTTAAACAATAGTTTTCAAAAACTATGTATAGATTAAGTATTGAGATATGATTTACTTATCTATGTACGATAAGTACATTCGATGATGGTTTTTATTTCTGCGTCTTTACTCCCACTTTAGTTGAAAAATAATCATAGTTCTATGTAAGTTTTACAACAATGCATAACATCAAACTTTCAATATCAAGACTTGAAATTTAATTACAGATATTGTACAATTTTTTTTTTGTATTTATATATGAATAAGTTTGTTCATCAATAAATTCAAGTATTATTGATAGTGTGACATATCTAAATTTCGCATATGGAAAATCTTTAGTTCTGTAACAACAGCTTCTTTTTTTGTTTTTTATTAATTTTCATAAAAAAAAAACTCAAAACAATAATAATTCCAACTGATTGAATTTATTTAGTATATTAAATCCGATTCATTTTTCTATTATTAATTTTCAAAGACAGAACATGCAAAATAAAAATCATTACCTATAGTCAAACATCAAAGGGTCACACGTAATGTCACTGTCTCGACATCGATCATATGTTACAATCAGGTAGTAAAACAAAAAAGTAATTATTATTCATTCCCATGAGAAAACAACAAAAAAAGAAGAATTTTTTGATTTTTTTTTTTCTCTCATTTTCTTCTTATCGATATTGAAAATTCTATGTAAACAATTTGAAGATGTCATAGATTTTAATATCAGTCTTATTTACATTTAACAACAAATATAGTTATTGAAAGATAAAACATGTTTCGAGATGAAACAACTCATTCAAGAAGCATAAGTGTGTGATATCACACTTTTTAACAAACTCAATCATGATGAGAAGGGCGGTTTCTTAAACAAATAATAATAGTTAAAGAAAATATTTTTCATTATTGACATGTCTTTCATAGACAAGTGAAGAATTCTTTTTGTGATAATGCTTCTGAAATTGATGTATTCTCTCAAAATCAATGATAAATGATCGATGACTTGATTTTGCTTGTATAATATTCTTATCCTACTCATCATCTTAAACAAGCACTTCATTGATGAATATTGTCTTTCCTTGATCTTTTTCTTTGGCGGAAGACATATGTCGTTAATCATTGCTTGTAAATATAAGAGAGAAATACGACAGGTAACGACAAAAAGATGATAAGTATATCGAGTATTGATGGATGTTGCAAACATTCACAACGACAAAAGACTGTCTAGTTTTTTTTTTTTACATCTATAAAACATACATATTTATATGTCCATTAGAATGTACATCCGATTGAATGATTGGAAGTGATGAACGTCGGGTGACACTCAAAAAAAAAGAAAAAAAAGAAAGAAGAAATTCAAATCGGATGTAAGACGTTCCTGTTGATGTTAATCAAGTGGAAACACAAGAAGATGATGCACTTTGAAATTGAGATCATGATGAAAATACTTGCACATCTAATCCGATTGAATTTCTGTCAGTTCAATGAATCAAGAGGTTTACTATTTGAAAACATTCAATATAGATAAATTCTTAGGGTTAAATTTTTCAAGCGTTTCACTTCACTATTGATCATAACGAAAAGAAAAACAACAGAAGAATCGAGTGAAAGGGCGACCGTTTGTATGCATAGTTAGCCTTCGTTTTATCTTATACCGCCTGTCATGATTGGCCTTCTTTCTTTACTCAAGTAGTGAAAGGCGTGATTGGAACCGCCTGTTCGAGTACATATATATATATGTATACAAAAAAAAAAAAAGAATGAACGAATAGTTCGATAGACAAGTGAGAGAAGAACAAGACATGTGATGTATATCAGACCTCCTGCTAACTGACAAATCAAACCATTGATCATAATGATTTAACCGACAAAAGAATAAACTAACTGTGATGATGATCAAGTAAATGAACTTCTCTCGTTGATATTAAAACAGCACGCATAAGTCTTATTAAATTTAACAAAAAAAAAAAACTTTTAAAAAATAAATCTCTTGAGTAAAAAATAAAAAAAAAAATCCATTCGTATCCAATTTATAGTTCACACCTTTTTATGTGCATGCGTGCATATGTTACTCGAATCAGTCATTCGACTTTCATAAAAAGAAAAAAAGAGAAGCAAAAGTGAGATATGACGGTCACTTGTTTCTTCTTTCGCACGCGTAAAAAAGGTAATGATGATGATAATAGGATTGACAGAAATGTGCAAGCGGGCAATAAAATTTGACATTGAAGAAGATCGGTCTAATTTTTAAGTGTATGCTTATGTCCGTATTCACAACACATGTGTCAAATGGATTCTTTTGATGATCATTTCTAATACCGCCAATAATTTCACTTCAAATTTGACATGCAAGTGACACCACCCATCGACGACACGTTTGATTTTTCGATGATGATGATTATAGACCTAAGCGCTACCGACTTTATGGCATACTCATATATCGAATGCTAGAACCAAAAGAGAGAAGAAAAAAAACAAAAAAACAATTGCCAACGTATAGTGTTTGTATATCGGTACTTTCTTTTAATGTGCTTAAGCGACTACAACAAATTACCAGGATGTTCATATCGGAAATCTCTTGAGGAACAACAACAACACCAAGAAAAAAAGAAATTCATGTTTACTCTTATTATACATATACATATGTCGGCAATGTATAATGAAGAAAAAGCAAATCGAATTACTTTTTTTGACAAAAAAAAAAAGAGAGACTTGTCTATTGAATTAGTTTGTATGTATGTATATGTATAAAGACGATAATCTTCATGATGACTGATTATTTGAATCAATATGCCGAACAGCTTTAAAAAAAAATCGGTTTGAGATTAAGTTTTTTTTCTTTTGATCGACACCGCCCCATTTGTGTCGTTTCTCTCCTTCTCTTTCTCTCAATCAAACAAAAGCGAAAGTATATCATTTTTCATTGGTCAATAATTATTTCTACGATTCCTAACAACCAATAGAGATAACACCCTAAGGAATAATGAACATCGAGGAGAAAAAGAACAAGAAGAACGGTATATTCACAGATGAGAAAACGAGAGAAGAAAAGAGTGAATGGTATCTCGTTTGTGTTTTTTATGCATAGTATCTAAGGTAGAGTCAACAGATAGATACACAGTTTGAAGAAATAAGACGAGAGAGAATAAGAGAAAAAATATCTGTAGTATATTTTACATTCAATTAAATTATAGATAGAGTAGTATGGTTATTCTGGCTCATCCATTTCTTTTACAGGGACATAACTTAATCATGGTATGTAAACGAAAATTCTTATTTGATGTCATTCATTGAAATATATCAAACTATTTAAAAAAAAAAGAAAAGAATAAAACCATTTCCTTAGGCAACGAGACTATCTTCTGATCTAATGAACGGTCAGTTATAGCTTGAAGCTTTCTTCGATTTGCATACTAATCATTTATCGAGTATGTGTACCGCTATTTCATCACATGGTAACACATAAACAGTCTTTGCATTTCCCTTCGTCCAATTAAGTTGATACTAACCGGAACACACCACTCGTCATCTTCAAAAAAAAAAAAGGCAACAGCAGTGGCAGCTTTGGCCACTTGCCGACAGATTATCACAGTAGAGAGCGCCGACATCGGATAATGAGCCAAGACAAGAACATACACACGTGCAGTTGTGATTCAAGTTGAATTAGTTGATATATATATATATATTCAGTCCTCATTGTCTGCCTTTGATCTCTTTCTCCCACCCATGATCCTTTTTTTCCGTATATATATATATATATATATGATTTTCTTGTTAGTTAGAACTATTGCATTTGTTTTCTTTTTAAGAATTCAATGAATAATTCAAATATTGCTCGACCTATACCTTTAAATCCTCAATCAACAACAGAAATTAAAATTGATAAACAGTCGACGTCATGGTCATCATCATTAGATCGTTTACATACAGAAGCAATAATTCATTATAAAGCATTACAAATTCTACAAGCACAATTTTCTCTTATACCTCCACCACCACCACTGCCTCCAGCAATTCATCCACATGCTCTTGCTGCAATATTTTCTTCGTCGAATTCATTAAATTCAAGTTCAAATTCTTCATCATCATCATCATTAACACCTGTTTCTTTACGTAAAGAATCATCGGATAAATGGTGGAGTGTTAATGAATATTCATCAAGTTTATTTGGTTCTGTAACACGACGATGTAAACGTTGTCGTTGTCCTAATTGTATTAATCAACCATCAACCATATTAACTGATTCATCAACATCAAAACGTCAACATATATGTCATATATGTAAAAAAATTTATGGTAAAACATCACATTTAAAAGCACATTTACGTTGGCATGCTGGTGAACGTCCATTTCGTTGTACTTGGATTTTTTGTTCTAAAGCATTTACACGTTCAGATGAAT